GGCGGCCGGTAGTGGGGGAAGGAGAACCGGCAGAGGGGAAGAGCTTGCGACAGAGACGGTCATATGGCGCCCGAGTCGGAACAGGGATGTCTTATGTCATTTTTCTTCGCGATATTCTAACGGGTGTCCCGAGAGTCGTAACCGGTGAGCTCGCGGCCTTAACCCCGTTCGAATGTAGATTTTTCGTGAAACTTTTATTATTTTGTCGGTGGATCGTGCGCGCAGCCTGGCAAGCCGGCCAGCCTGTCGGATTTCAACCGGGCGACCCCGTTTAAGGAGCAAGATTTTTGCGGAATTTTTATCGTTCTTTTTATTGTCCTCTCCTTTACTACCTCCACGTCCGAGGAAGTTACCCGGGGAATAGTAACTTTGAATTTTACTGGCGCGAAGGTAGTACGTATATCCTTCTCGCGGGGCTGATTGGCGGAATGATAATTGGATCGCGGTAAGGGTTTTTAGCGAGTGGATCTCGCTGCGTACGTTGAAACGAACACGACCCTCTGTCTTTTTATTTTCTGAGATGCCTCTAGAAGCAAAGGAAAACATTTATTTCAGAGTTTAATACGTTTATTGAAATTTTCTTCGTTCCGGTATCGAAACAACGAGGTACTTTTCAACGTGCGAACTAAAACGCCAAGTTCCAGGAAGTACGTAACGATAAAACACGTATGGATTTTTTCCAACTTCTCCTTTCGCCTTTCATTAAGATTATCATCGGCGAAGCCGCGAAGGTACGATCGCGATATCCGTACAGCGCGCGAGTAGCGCCGATTTCGGAACGCATTTGTACGCGTTCCATTATTCATCCGCGGTAATGACACCGATCTCGAATATTACGTATCTCGCGTGCCCGTTAGAACTATGCGTCGATCCTTCTGTTCTCGATGAGATTGCTTTAGCTTCTTGGACGCTGTTCTTTTTTTCTCCTTTTGCTTTGTCGTCTTATTTCACTCGTATGTTTGTGGTTCCTGGTGGCGATGATTCCTATGAAAAGTTTGCTCGTTGAATGAGAAAAAGGTAGAGAGGGAGAAAGAGAGAAGCTATCGAGCTGGACGGATTTTCAAAGTTGGTTCCCTGGAGCGCTAATCGAGCCGACCTATGTAGCTAGTTTCTGGATGAAAGAGGAAGCGGTCCCGTTCGCAGCCCGCGGCTGCTTCCAGATGCAGCGTTTTGAAGATCCGCCGCCACCGACGCGGACTCGATTATCATAATAAAATTTAATTGGCACGCTACGTCGTGGCCAATCGTAGCCATGCCTTTAAACGGCCTCGATTTTCTCTCGGGCTGTTTTCCCCCCGATCGTTTCTGTTTCGTTCCGAACTGAGCTTCAATTCGTTTGGTTAAATCCGTAAAACGAGCAACTCGGAGCATACCGAACGTGAACTTTCCAACGGTAGAGAGATTTTCGATTTAATTGCATCGCGTGTAATGGCTTGAAATTTGATAACGCGTGTTGCGTGTTAGAGGAGACAGAAGGAAAAAGAGAGGTAAGAAGAAATACGAAAGCCGTAGAGGATAAAGTAAAAACGAATGTCGGTTGTGACATACTTCTGTGACATATAGTTGTAGTAAAAGCGGTATATTTTTTCGACGCAAAGAAGAGGAGAAATGACGTTATTTCCGAATGATATTCAACGAAAGTGCATTCCACCCAACTATTTTATCGAAAACGACATTCCATTTATGTAATTCTTTTGGTTATTCGCGACTTTTGCGTTGCACGTTAATTCGAGGATTTCCTGCAGTTTTGACCTTTGTGCGAGCAAAGATGCGATAGAAACTATCAAAATGTGCTGACGAGAGGCACGACTGCCTTTGGAGGAAATTCAACAACTCCAACTCGATAACCCAGATTTCGGTGTAGCCGCATAACGTTCGGGGTAAGCAATACAAGTAAATGTATCGCACCCTCTAGTTCAGGGAGTTTGCAACTGCAAAATTAATCCTCGAGTCCTAATATCGTTCCCTCCGGATCATAAACTACCGGTCAAACTGGGAGCAGTATCGGTCGATTCGCGTATCCCTTTCCGTACTTACGTACTTATGCGAGCTGAAATACATCTAGCTAATCGCACCTGCGACTTCGGCTCTTTAAGGATTATTATCTGTGAATAAACTCTTCGATTGTCGCAAGATTTAGGACGAATCATTCTCTATGGAAACGACCCTTCGTTTTGCACCAATCACGTAGAAACGCGTCTTTCTTGAAAATTTTTTTCTCAAGTTCTCTCAAACGACTGAAACGAAACGATTTGAAAAAGGAAGATCCACGTTTACGAATACGGAACGATGCTAAGGCGAAATCGAGGCAAAAATAAGGAAGAATCGCGTATTAAATGCGACGGGGATGGAATTTTGCACGTACGAGGTTTTTGAAGGGTTGAAGTGCGTGTCGACGAGGGGTAGAAGCACTCGAATAACCTAGATTTCGCGAAGACTCATTACATAACTTTTGCGATCGATGGTTGCAACAACGGGTCTCTTGCGCGTTCTTCCGGTGGTGCATATGCACGGCAGAAGAGCGTATAGTGTACATGCATATATTTACGAGGATATTATCTAGCGTACGTTCGACGCTGATAAAAGCGCGGGCAAAAGAAGAACGGTTTCATACGGTTCCGGACGTTGTCGGGCTTTTTCGCCAAACGCTTCTTTTACAAATCAACCGTGCAAGCGTCTGCCGTCCGTGAGAAGAGAAGCGGAATCCGTTTTACGAACGATCATTGAACGTACTACCTCGCCGTGCCGTTTCAATTCCGTCGTGGATGCAGTTCTGTCGAAACCAACTATTTCCACAGAGCGAAAAGTGTAAAAGTGCCATCGAGAAATTGTTCTTCGCTTCGAATTACGATGATAGTATCCGGTCTTTCTATAAATAACATCGTATTAGAAGCTCAGCTATGGTGGAAAAATAATAATAGCCTACTCGAGGATGAGCTACGGGACTAACAATAAGCATACGCGTACGTCGAATCAAGGAAAACGATCGTTTCGACAAGGTGATACAGTGTTGTGTGAATATGTAATAAGCGTTCAATGACTGTCAGTTGGAAACACGGCCGACGTGACAGTAGGTCGAGACACGTTCTGCGCTGTTAATGCAATTTTCTGCGCGATATTGCACCTTCGCGCGTACAGATTCACAGTACCCTTTTAGCCCAAAAAGATGACAGAACTTTTGCATTAACCTAAAATTATATGCTTTCAGCATGTAATGTAATTCGATGCGGCGCTCGGTTAAAAAATTCCACCGCTCTTCCTGACCCGCATCTTTTGCCAATAGTTTCGTGGATAGAAAAATTTTGCAAGGCTACCATAAGCAACGGATGTCACAGATATCAACTTTCTTAAATAAATTTTTGCAAAAGGGAGAATAGCTGATCGAATTCTAACTTTATGTTCTTGTAAAAATGTGTGAGAATTTAGGAAGAAAAAAACTGATTCATCCGGAGTAAATTGGAAAAGAAAAACGGTAACTCATTCGGAGACAGTTCGTTAAAAGAAGTGGAAAATTCGATACGCGAACGAATAAAGTTCTTCGAATATAAATTTATAATAAAATATAAAAAGTACAGTGGCAAAAGTTGGAAATTTTGTTTCAATTTTATGTTCTCGTAAGCATGAATTTATTTAAAAAGCCGGAGCAACTATTTCATATTTCATGAGCATTTTATTAGAGAAATAAATTATAAATGCAGAGTAGCAGATGTCACGTGCAAGTAAAATATTTTAAAATATAAACCTCAAAATATTACTACGAGAAAAATTGGAATTCGCATTTTAATTTTAAATCCTCGCAAGCGCCCTATAACGGCAACCGTCTAAAAACGCATTCGGAGCTATTTCTAGCTTGCCAAAAAGCTCAACATCTCGCTTAAATGGGATGCACGAAGATCTTCTCGAGTGACCGTAAATCTATGCGAACGAAATAACTTATTCTCGAAACCATTCTTACGAAGAAACTGGCGCTCTTACCATATTCTTGCCGAAGGCTCTTGCTAATCGTAATATTTCTTTTAAAAACACAATAACTCGCGTCGAAGAATCTCCATTGCGATAATTACTCGGAGCTGCAAAAATCTCGAATCTCTAGAATCTGGAAAATAAAATAAAAAAGGACGTTGCTCGCTCGTTGACAACGCGATGGATTTATGAACAATGATCTAAATCATAATCCGGTATGCCGAATGGTAACACCATTAAGACTACATTTCAGCGAGCGAGACAGCCAGCGGAACGTTGACGTACGGACACGCATACAAAGTTGCATATATGTACGTTTGAATGGAATGCATTCTGCATTATGCGTCACGTCAGAATTCCGAGCTCGAGTACGTTACGGCAAACGACCGTAACGACGAACAAGTGGCTGCCGCGTTTCATCTCCCGCGATTTTCCATGAGAAACGCGAAACGTTGTTTGGAAAAGTGGCGGTGATGGTAGTCGTATGAAGATAAATTGATCCAAACTTAGCCATAACGTCGACGTATATATCGCCTCGAATTAGAATTCCTAATGATTATTTGTCACGTGAGAGCGAAACAATGTTTCGTTTCGCATTGCATGCGACGAGGAAAATGAGTCGCTTTGTTTCGACGGTTTTGTCTTCTGTGATATCAATGAGATCGTGGAATATTAATGTATCTGTTTCGAGACAGATCGCCGATATACTCGCGAATCATGGAAATTCCTTTTGCCAGGAAGAAAAAGAAAAAAAGTAAAAAATAAAACTTCAGAGGCTGTTTTTCGCGACTGAAGCTGGATTCTGCGAGTACCGACGACGAGCCAATCGCAAGCAATCTCTTCACGGTGCAAGAAAGAATATAGAAAATTATTGCAACCAGGTAATTACGTTTCGTTAGGGTTTGATAGCTCGGCTCGAACATTTGCAAAAGCAATTCGCGACGACAGAGCGTGCTCCGAGTCATCGAGAGTCCCTAAGTACCGGATAATTAACTCGACTTTTCTCCTTGCTTGCGGTTTCTTTGTAAACCGCTTTATTTAATCGCGAATCGAGTTCTATCGATCTGTCTCGTGGAAAAGATATCATTTGAACGTCTAAAACCAATCTTGTCTCTGAAGCATGTTAAGTAATAAAATCTCTAAAGTTTCATTTACTGGAAAAATATAATTTTAAGCGTGGAAGGTAATCAATTCGTAATTTTTCATAACGACTTTATCGTAGATCGACAACGTCGGATATTGATGTTTGTTTCGCGTTGTATTAGTATTCTCTGAATAATTATTTTATTCCTCGGATCTCGAATCGGACACGGTCACAAATAACGAGTTACGTTTCTCGTAGATCTTAATACTCGACGACTCGTTGAAGATCGTTTCCGGTTGGTTCGACGCGGTCGAGTCCATTTCGTTTCTTATCAGCGAACACGTGTGTGACAATAATGGCTACGCTCCACGATAAATTTCGCGTTGATTTCGAGCACCTGGTAGTACGACCTAAAACTTTTCTCGAAATTGATGCATCGGAAATATTTTATCGGAGATTCGGTAACCCTTTGAGCGATTAAACTGCACGGAACAGGGCTGAGTCATTAATGTCACGTATCGGAGGATTTATTTTGTTACGTGGAAATTAATCTTTTTCCCCCGTATAGCTGCCTCTTGTCGTATCACGTATCCAATATAGGGTTTCTTAGAAATTCAACGTGAAAAGAATAATTAACGTGTTCGAGTGACGTAGTGCTGTCTCTTACAGATTTACGCGACTCTTACAGTTACGATCGCCTAGATATATTCCCTTCGGGATTGCACAATTTACGATCGTAAAAAGATTCGCGAAATTTGGTCAACCTAATAAAGCGTAGACATTTCAATAAACTTTCCGTGTATTTCCATGTATTTATGGCTGCTAAAACTTAAACGGCCGCGTGTTTCGTCTCGAGATCGCGTTCGCCTCCTGGTAAAATATCGAAATTGAGAAAAGAAAAGCGAAAACTATACCGTGTAATTGATTTCCGAGTCTATTAGGAAGTCGGGACTATGGCTTACTTGTTCCGCGTGTTTCGCGTCTACCTTCGTAACCGAGTCTAATTGAAGGTTTGCTTTCGCGCGGATATCGTGGTCATCTACAATGTAAATGACGGCTCCCTTATTCGTTGGCTGTAAGACAAACGAATCGGAGACTATCGTTTCTCATCAATCTGTCGTAACGGTATCGCCAGATTATAAATTAAAATTGCGAATTAAATTTGGAAATTAAAGAAAATTCGCTCATTTGTTCCCCTTCCAAATATCTTTCGTCGAACTTCCTTCGTATAATATCTAAAAATCGGCGCTAAAGATACAGGCGATCCGATGTACTAAAATTTCAATACATATATCAACGTTATACCGAACCTCGGATTAATATTCAAGCCACGTCGAATTTATTACGATTATATGGATTAGAGTTGCGCTTAAGCGACGTTTATCGCGATTAAGTGGCCATTATCGCGAATAGATACCATCAGTTTTATCCCAGTTGCGTTATTTATCTCTATCGAACTATGCGCAAAATTACACACCGAAATACACACGTTAAACGATGAACAATCGAGCGAAGAGTAAAATCCTGTAAATGAAAAATACCGCGAGAGTCGGCTGTCTCGAAAAGTTTCGGGGAAAATTCTTGCGAAAACTGGATACCACGTACTACGTACATTCCGTGAAAATGGCGTTTCATATGCGGTTAATCCTCCTGGCTCTCGACGTAAAGCATCCTAGAAGCGCTCTCAATCCGAAAATAAAGTTATCTGAGCGCGTAGAGAAGAAGCCGATGCGCGACGAGTCGAAGGGAAGCGAAAGATTCGCGGAAAATTGTCGCGAGGATCACACCGAAATCGAAGAAAAAACGATAGCCTCGAAGCAGAAACTATTTCGT